ATAATATATTAGAAAAATAACTCAGATTCATATTCCCTCCTGTGCCATGTGTATGTCGTAATATATGATTTCCATAACAAATAATATACATGTTATTGGACTCATAAATATGTCAAACTAAAAAAACTCATAATTAATAACAAGCCATAAACATGAACCTTTTCAAACAAGAAACTAATAAGATCATACAGTATGACTTGAGGAACTACCATGTATGGTTGGCTAAGGGAGTAAAAGTGAAATGGAAACATAATTCTCTTCTTAATTAATTGCAAATGTTATTCACATTTTCATTTTTATTTATAATTGAGGAACTAAACTAGTAATGAAGTTGCAATACGAGAACAAAAATTTACTCCAGAACGTTAGCCAAGTGTGCAAAATCAGGAAAATCAAAATTAATGTTCTTTGAAACCAGCCAATTTGTAGACAAATAATAAAGAATCTACGAGTCAAATATAAGTATTAATTTTCCAATATGATAAACAAATTAAGTGTTTTATCATTTGCGGTATCGTATTAACACTATGGGATGAAGGCATTATTTGATTCACATATCAAATAATCATCAGGATTGAAAAGAAATTAACTTGTGTTTTGTTCCATTGTCAATGACCGAGCACATCAACAGCATGATCTATCATAAAAGTTTTTCTCTTTGACTCGATAAGAGACATATATGGGCTTGAAGTACACAAAAAATAAGCAGACCTCCCTTCCTTTATGCCTAAACCCACTCTCCGATCCAATACAATTGAAAACCCTAGACTAGACTACACTTTTAATTAGAAGTCTAGCCTACAATACTTCTCCCGACCCAAATGGAAATTCTTCAAAGAACATCCTAGTTCTAAAAACCACAATATCCAAGGGGGAACAGGACCAAAAATTAAACACATCTAAAACTTATTTAAGGAACAATAACATTGACTATACAAATATCAAAAGTATGCATGCTTTGTTTTAAAGCCAATGGTGTCTCTGTCTCACCTTGTTGAGTATATAGGTCGTTGCCACCAGAAACCATCTTTCATCCGATATTCGCTAATGGGCAATGACCTATTTTCTCTTCTCCGTCGACTCTGCCGATTAAAATTGTAATTGTGTGTTAGTTCTTAAACTCTCTAATTAAACTAGAGGAAGTTATTAGCAACTTTTAACTGCTCAAATCACGTCTCTACAACTAATGCATGCGGTTATCCTACCGCGATCTCAGCCATCCATATGTTGCTTTGATCATTAAATTGAACGGTCAGGATGCCATTATTGGATTTTATTAGCAATTAAAAAGAATCCTCCACAAAAGCAAAACAAAACGAAAGCCACTAATCCTTCTTAATCCCATACGTTTTGTTTCTTTCTTTATGTTTTATTACTAAAATTCTAAAATACATGGATTTATGACCGTTCTCAGTATATTGTTCATTTATTATTATTATTATTATTAAGAAGACTCTAAAAGATATAGGGTTTTGACTATTCACGATTTTGTTCATTTTTTTTTTATTATCATTAATAAGACTCTAAAAGATATAATGTTCTGACTATTTACGATTTTGTTTAGTGTGTGTGTATATATATATATGTATGTATATATATATATTCCGTAAAAGCATATGCGATCCAACAATTAAGGCAATTGCTCGCAAGCATATCCTCGTTCATTTTTTAATATTATTATTTTTAAGAAGACTCTAAAAAACATAGGGTTCGATCGCTCACAATTCCGTTCACTTTTTTTTTTTATTATTATCATTATTAAGATTCTAAAGGTGTAGTGTTTTGATTGTTTACGATTCCGTTTAGTTTATATATATATATTGTAAAAGCATATGCGGTCCAACAGTCTAAGACAATTGCTCTACAAGCAATAGAATTTAGGTTCGACCCCAAGGTGTAGGGTTCGATCGTTTACGATTCTCGTTTAGTTTATATATATATATATATATATATATATTGTAAAAACATATGCGGTCCAACGAGTTAAGGCAATTGCTCTACAAGCAATAGAACTTAGGTTCGACCCCCTGTCTATCTTCTTTTTTGTTTGTTTGTTTGTTTGTTTTTTTTTTTCCATAGCCAAACTTTTAGGAAATTATTTTTATTTTGGTCCCTATTTTTGTAATATTTTTTTTGTTTTGATCATTAAAAATTTATTATATTTGATTTTTATCTCTATAATAAATATTGAAATTGAAATTTTTTTTATTTTCGTACTCGTTTTGTAGTATTTTTTTTATTTTGATCATTAAAAATTTATTATATTTGATTTTTATCTCTATAATAAATTTTTTTTTTTTGCCTTTTAGTAAAAATTTATGTTTTTTTTTTTATTTTGTGATATGTTTTTACTTTAGTCATTAAAGTTTTATTATGTTTGATTTTTATCCTTGCTATACTAAAATTAAATATTTTATTATATTTGATTTTTTTCCCTCGTCATAAATTTTTTTCTTGGTTTTTAATAAAAATTTATGTTTTTTTTTCATTCTTATTTTGTGATATGTTTTTATTTTAGTTATTAAAGTTTTATAATTTTTTATTTTTATTCTTACTATACTAAAACTAAATAAAGTTTACTATTCACCTTTTTTTTTACCCTCATAATGTACTATTCACTCTTATGCTTTTTTTTTTTAATTTTCACTCTTACCTTTTTTCTTAGATTTTTTTTTATAATTTTTAAATTATTTCATTTTGATCTCTGAAATTTTATTACAAGAAATACTAAAAGAAAACGAAAAAGTGCAATAGCACTTTCCTCGTTCATTCAATGTTTGCCTCTCTTTCTTTCTTTTTTTTTCGATTGCTTAGCCAAGCTTTTAGGAAATTTTTTTTTTTTTTGGTCATTGTTTTGTAATATATTTTTTATTTTGGTCATTAAAAATTTATTATATTTGATTTTTTTCCCTATAATAAATATTAAAATTTTATTATATTTGATTTTCATCTCTATAATAAATATTTTTTTTCTTGGCTTTTAGTAAAAATTTATGTTCTTTTTTTATTCTTATTTTGTGATATGTTTTTATTTTAGTCATTAAATTTTTATCATGTTTGATTTTTATCCTTACAACACTAAAACTAAATATTTTATTGTATTTAATTTTTATTCCTATAATAATTTTTTTCTTGGCTTTTAGTAAAAATATATGTTCTTTTTTTTATTCTTATTTTGTGATATGTTTTTATTTTGGTTATTAAAATTTTATCATGTTTGATTTTTATCCTTGCTATACTAAAACTAAGTAAAGTTTATTATCCTAAACCTTTTTTTGTACTATTCACTCCTTTCTTTTTTTTTTTTTTTTAACCCTCACAATGTACTATTCACTCTTAGGTGTTTTTTTTTTTTTAATTTTCACTCTTAGTTTTTTTTTTTGTAATTTTCAAATTATTTCATTTTGATCCTTGAAATTTTAAAATACAAATTTTAATCCCTAGTTGATGCACTACATTCCTTTTCTTTTTTCTTTTCCTTTGGTTTTTTTTCTTTGATTTTTTTCATCAATTTATGCTCTCTTTTTTTATTTATATTAATTGGGTGTTAAAATTTTTAAAAATCAATGGTTACTTTTTTTTTTCACACAACCGACGATTGTATGTATATATATATATATATATATATATATCAAATGTATGTACTTTAAAAAAATAATCTTCTCATCAACATTAACTAAGAATAAAATTTTATTTTTTCTTTGGTTTTATGCAAGTCTATACATTAATTATATCTTCTTCTTTTTTTTTTTTTTTGATATATTCCTATAAAACAATATATTTTTAAAGTATTGATTTTTAAATTCTTAATTAATATTTCAGGTTTAAATTATATATTAGCAGTTTTTATTTAGGAATCCATAAATAAAGAAAAATAAATCATTTTTTTAAATAGAAATTTTATGAAAAACACCCAAAAAAAAAAATAGTAACGTTGTGCGAGATAATTTCAAAAATTAATCTTCTCATCAGCATTAAATAAGAAATTTTTTTCCCAATTGTTAGTTTTTATAAAAGTCTATCTATTAATTATAACTTTATTTTTTGGAATACAATATTATGAAAAATATGTTTTAAAAGTTTTTTTAATTCTTGATTAATATTTTAATTAAAATCAATCCATAAATAAGAATGATTTATGTTTTTTTAAGTAAAATAATTTATAAAAAAACATTAAATAAAAAATTATAATAAAATTTTTTTAAAATTTTAAAATAATTTTATTCTACCATACCAACAGTATAACACGGGCAAGCAGCTAGTTCTGAAACTAAAGGACATCCTGGTTAGCCTCATCGTCATCAATGCGCAAAGCAAGCCCACCCCTCAGAGTAGAATGTGACTTGATTGGGAGAAGGAATGGACACTGGAATTTTTTATAGCCCTTGACATCTCCTATTATATCTCTTCTTATTCTCCCCTTTCTCCAGCAGATGGTTTGACGATTAATTTAAACTTTTAGTTGCTTTGTTTAATTAGGCATGTTTAAATCTTTTGCTCTATCTTAATCTATTTGTTACTGCTACTTTAGTTATGGTTAATGTCCCTTTTGCATTAAGAAAGAAGAAGCCGTCTAGGTCAAGTCGTAACAAATTCCATGCTCAAGAGCAATGCTGCTTAACATGCTCTAAAGCGTATCGAGCAACGTAGAAGAGGCGCTAGTACCCCCAGCATATTCCAGAAGAAAAAATTTCTGGAACAAGTTTTAATGCAGTTTCCATTAAAACAAAGGAAAATGGCATGTTAATCAAAGAGAAATTTCAGTGTAGAGTAGCTTACATCTCTGCTCCCATGTATCATTCAAAGTATAAAACAAAACTGGGGTAGCTTATTTCCACAAAGGATTCTCTATAGACAAACATGAGCAGAATTGCATCTAACCCGAAGCGGCATGTCAACGCCCACATTTCAAAAATCAAACTACAACGGGAAAGACTCCAGTCAGTACCAGACACAATACAAGCAATGCTTCGTGAGGATGAAAATTTGGAAGTCAGCCATTAATCATTCTTCTTGAAACCAACTAGCTTTTTGGTGATATCAGATTTCAATTTGCACCCCAAAGAGAGAGCTTCCAAAAACATAGAATCAATTGCTTGTTCATTTTTCTCATACAAATAGAATGCAGCAAAAGCAACAGGAAGTCCTGCAGAAATAAAAAGAGCACAAAACCACACTTATTCAAACTGACCGCTGAGAATAAAGAAAAAATAACATAAAAAATTAAACAACATATAATGGTAGTCGAGGCAGGAAGAGAAGAAACTCAGGTAAAAAGGCTTCAACTGGAATATAACTACAGAGGGAAAGCAGAATTGTGATTGAATTTTACTTGAGACAGTTATAACAGGTAAAAGGTAATGTCAAAACTTTTGACATGGCTTGCTCTTTTCAATTTAAAGTATTAGTTTCTATATAACTGCCACAAGGTTGTAGGGCCGAAACTTGAAAGAAAGAAAATTGCATTTCTGCATATTTATGCACGCACAAGTACAGCAGAGAGCATACCTATAACAAATAAGGTCTGCAATGAAATGGCTCCAAGGAAGCTAAGGATCAATAGCGATATAACCACCTGTTTCATTCCATGGAAAAACTTAGCAAATGGTACATAACATCTGAAATTTTAAATAAGAATGGCTAAACTACGCAATGCTTAAATAGGTAAAATCAAACACTTTAAAAGCACGATAAAGTTTGTAATGGAACTTATTTCTTCTGTAACTGGAAGACAAATTACATGTTTTATACATTTGGTTAAACAAAGCAAGATCCAATTCCAATGTAGAAGCTCATAGCTACAGCAATCAGGCAGAAGGGTTTGTTATTTTACACATTCGATAAAATATCAAGCAAGAAATTGCCACTTAGCAGTATTACGTATCAGACTGAAGCTTACTTTCATAACACGAAAACATCTGTTCTAACACTATCAGTTTAGCATCTCTGCATTATGTACATGCAAAAACTGTTCAGAACTACCATGCATACATACGACTTTCAGAACTAAGAAAAGGATATCCAAATCCAAATATGAATTTACTAGACTACAGTAGAAGACTCGTAATGAGTATGAACTGAGTATGAACGCTAGAGAAACCTGTAAAGAACAGCAAATACCTTGAGGAACAATGACCAGTCATTTCCCTTGCAAACAGATTTTAAAACATAAACAGCAGCATTCCATGATGAAGCCACTGAAAGGGCAATTTGGTGCGACCTCTCCTCTGACAAGTGGAAATATGACACCGGAATTTTTTCTACTGTATATCCAAACCTGCACCAAAAAGAAAATCCAATTATAAATCACTGATGTTCTTCGATTAAAGAACAGTAACCATCTGTCAGTCTCCTGCTGTATCAGAAGATTTTAGGACGTGGTTTGAAATTTTGAAATTTGAGCAGGTCGTTTCTGAATTTTCAGCTTATAGATTATGATGTTGAAAACCCAAAACTTCACGTTTTCATCATATTCTTTGATAGTGGAAAATTTGTTCCCAAGAAAGACTACTGGTATAAGAAGCACGTGCAAGTAACCACTGGCACCACATGTAAAACACTTGGACCGTTGGTTTCAGGATGTGGCTTGTTGATATCGTATTCTTAAGTGATAAAGATGCTTCTATAAGAAACAAAATGCTGGCATATTGACAAGGGAAAAAAGAACACAGGCATGCGTACATTTTCTCTGGTAAATTGCCATGGATGAACAGGAAGACTGATACCACCAAGAGAAGCTTTGAAGCAGCAGTAACAATGGTTGATTGAGATGCAATGAAGTTGTAATAAATTGCAACCAGAACTAACAGTGTCATCAATGTCTGTTTTTTATCCTTCCAAAGTAGTGTATCAGCAACTGCAAATGGCAACAGTAGCAAATATATTAGTTCCAATCCATGGTCAAGTTCATACACCCAGCCACAGAGAGAGAGAGAGAGAGAGAGATGGGTGTTGAGGTAACTAGCTAAAGGGAAAGACTGATATCAACTTGTACCAGACAAAAAAATATGCATGGTATGATGTCCCTGCAAATTTCAATTGCTAACACAACTATTCTGCATTTTAAATTCATCAAGTTACCTTGAAGTGAAAAAATTTAAATACTTAATTCCATCATTTTCAGGCATGTGAAAACCAGCTCAAACCCCCCAATCCTTTCATCTTCTGTGACCTACAATCACTAGTTAAAATACGAAATCCATGGTTAGGCACAAACTTTTTCTATATTCAATATTCCCTGTTGCATTGTTTAATGTTTCAATAGTTGAGCAGCCATAAAAATGCAGCCAGCATAATAGGCATGCAATGGGCGATTCATACACTGGTTTCTGGTCTATTTCAACTCTATATAGCACTCAGCATTGCACAGCATAGTGTTGAATGCTTTCAGAAAGCTCATATCCTGCAGACCCAGACATATAAAATAAAATGAACAGAAATTGATCACTCATACCTCTTCCACTTCCAAGACATATGGAGGCCTTAGATGGCCCTTCTCTTTTAGGTTGATTTTCAGCCCTTAAGTGTGGATATGACTCAAGCGTCCTTTTCAAGCCTTCCTGCAAAAATCATAATCCATCATTAAAAGAAAATTTAAGAATCCAATTATAGTGGACTTAAAAAAAAGGTATAGTATATCATGCATTTTGAATTGGTGTTTATGTTCGTTGGTTGGTAAAAACATTCATCGATCTAAGTTCGAGTTAGAAAGCGTGCTGTACTGACCACTAAGATTGTGTTACAAAATCTGAACTACTCAAAAAGCACAAAACATAATAAGAATAATGTTTCGGTGGACCTTCATACAAGTTAGAATAAAAGTCGAAGCATTTACATTGACTGTAACAATACTGTCAATGGATCTGAACAGCTAGCATGGATAAAAGCATTTATCGATTGACATTCAGGTTAAAGAGAGAGCTGTGCTGACAAGTAAGATGGTGTTACAAAATCTGAACAACTCAAAATGCTCAAAACATATAAACATATTTTTTTTTTGTGATGGGCTATCAAACAAGTTAGAATAACTATCCAAAGTGTTTAAACTTACCATAACAATAGTGTAAAAGAAACTGAGCATCTAACAGGGAACAAATCTTACAACACTTAACACTTAAAGCAGGGTTTAAATCTATTTTTTTTAGCAACAGCTAATTAAGGTTCTGTACAACCTATTTGGAAGGTTGTAGCAAATCTCACAAAAAGTTTGTGAAAACTACCAAATAATTCTAGATCATGTCATGCAGAAAAGCAAATTGTCAGAGGATATTAAAAACCTCAAGTGTTACAATAGGTGCATAGCCAAGTCTATCCTTTGCTTTTGAACAATTAAAAGATCTGCTGCAAGAGAGGAGTCTAATTCTTGAAGGTATCAGCTGCGGAACTTTCATCCCATATGGGCCAAATATCTTATATATCCACTCTATCACATGCGCAATCGGCATCACAGCAAAGGCAGGAATCTTTATTCTAGGCCTGCAAACTAAAACAATTCAGATAAAAGAAATTGTGGACTGGCCACTACATAAATGATTTTTGTTTCGAACTTCCTGCATACATGTAGAAATAATGAATGAAATATTTATAAAATTCTCCAGCATTGTTTATGAAGAAATCCTTTTATCATAATAAAAAGAGAGAAAAAAACTTTATTGGAACATCCTTCCCCCAACTCATAAAAACAACAATAGTTGTTCTTTAAAAAAAAAAAGAGTAGCATCTCCTTCTTTTATTACATTAAATTCAATTATGTTGTGCCCTATCTACTTTTAAAAATATGAAATAGGTAGCAAAGAAGCGTACCATATGCTACTAAATACAATAGCAGGAAGAATAACAAAAGGGCCTGAGGAAAATTTGACTAGTTTATCGTTCTTTTTCTCATCATCATGAAGAAATAACGCAGCTCAAATTGCTCAGAAGCTATAATGATCTTCTGAACACAGATCCTGAAAAACATTCTCTCAAAAACCATGTCTGTTTCATGATTATGAATTCAGTGCCTTACATTTCACATAGAATATTTCCACATAAAGACATCAAATTTGACCAATGTGGAGGTTCAGAAGGAAAGAAAATGAGCATAATGGCCAAGGCAAAAACACAAGTATGTTATTTGTTGAAAACTAGAGAGAAAAACAGTTAAAATGTAAGATCAGGAAACTAAGAAGAGAGGAAAAGAAGAGCTGAAACTTAGTAACAACCAGGTAATTTTGATCAAATTATGATTATGAAAGATAAATAAGCATTTGGATACAAATGATGAATGAAAAGAGTTAAGAGTAAAAAAGTACCTCTCATAGCCAAGGCCTTCCAATACAAGTGATGTAAATTCCCAAAACTTGATGGGCTCCATGTTGGTTATAAAATATGCCTGCAAATCTAATTTAGTTTAGCTAAAAGCAATCTCCTGATCAAGTCAGCATGTAAATAACATTTTCAAAGCATTACACTACCCAGATTTAAAAGAAACACTAGAAAACAAGACATCATGGAATAATCAGGACCTTCTCACAATTTCCCTCAAGAACCTTCTCACTTATTCTGTTTTCCAGCATTTTTTAAGCATTTCAGAATCTGGGTTAATATGAACCATGTCGCACAAGTTCTTGTTAGAAGCTGACATGCTAAAGCATCAGGAAGATATTATTTCCCTCTTCATGTCATCACACACCATATGAATTAGAAATTAAAAGGGGTTTCCTTTAGACTGCAGGCAAAGGGCTCTCTCAAGGACTTCATATGGCTTTGCATGACATCCTACGTATCAATTTCCTACATGACAGAGGTTGAGATGGAGGTGATGCACTTTGATCTTTATGCTTCCCGAATCAAAGTGACCAGGAAGGTTCAAGCCTTCAAGGTGACTTTGCCACTTTAATTCCAACTTTGACCTAGGAAGGTTTAATAGTTTTGACTTTTCAACATAGCTAGATGCTCGCATATCCAAAATATGCTGCCATGGTCCTCATGGACAAATGTAGTTATTATCTTCTTAGGAATGGTTTCAATAGAGAAGTTAGTTGGCCAAAATCTACCTTGTAATCTCTTATACTCACTTCATCCATATTTCTTATTAATGTGTCTCTGCCATGTGACCTTATGGAAAACGAACTGATACCATCTGCATGCAGCTAGACAAGGACCAATTATCTTCACCTGATTCTTGTTAAACCAATTAAATATTGATATTGTCTTGAATGCAGCGTGTATGAAATCTCACTGGCGAGAGCACCTCCGACTAAAATTGTGATGGTAACCTTGCATGATAATACCAATAAAACTAGTTTCCTTCTATCAATTCATTCATGCAATAAACTTACAAAACCAGAATACAATTCTAGGACTCAAACACAGGATAAAAGTGATAAGCAGCAAGTGTAAGAAATACAATTATTGAAACTTAGAATAATCTCCTGACTGAAACTTTGTTCTTACGATCTTTTACTTATATACAACAATAGATTAGAATAGAAGAGAGCAAGAAAAGTTAATGGCGAACACACACATTATTGAAAGACAAATAGAAAAGCAGAAAAAGATGGGACCTGCCCAGCAGCTTTCTCTGCAACCTCCTGCTCTGCTGCCAGAGCTCGATCGGCACATATGTGAGCATGTGCCACATTTTCAACATATGTGAAATCATAAATGTTATTGCCATCACCAATCATGAACTGCTCAATCAATAATAAAGGAAGAAAGATGAGCATTGGATGTAATGAAAAAAACATACCACAAATGCATCTGTAAATGCAAAGAACTGCAGCAGCGGAGTATAAAAAGAACTTAAATATGTCCACGGCAGATGGCTAATGCAAAAGCGAGTATAGAGCATAATTTGATGGGATGGACACCAATTTTTGGTCTAGAATGAAATTTTGCAGATCATATCTAAAAATATCAGCATGCTTTTCCATAAGAATTCAGGTCAACATGACTTTATTAGCAACCCAAACTGATAAGCTGACAGAAGGATACTAACATGAAAATGTATTTAATAAATGCTCGATCTCCTTCAAAGCTACATCAACTTTTCATTTAGAGTACACTATTTTTTTCCTCTCCAACTACTAGCATAATAAGAAGGCATTTAATAAGTTCCTTAGAAACCTGACAGTCCTAAGCAACCTAGAACCAGCAGATATTCAGAAACAATCCACGAATTTTGAAGTATCTAGTTATCATCTTCAAATAGCATTTGATCAAGCATTGTACATGGCTGCACACACATTCTCTCTTAACAATCCGAATAACTCTACCATGTCATATCACATTTTTACTTGAAGGCCATAATTACCTTAGATTTCCCAGCCCTTGCAGCAGCAACCAAAGATGGAACAAACAACCTATCTCCAGGTCCAAATATGCTGCTAGGCCGTAAACTACACGTTAATAGTCCGTTTAATCCATTTGCCTTAAGAATAGCAGCCTCACCTTCTGCTTTAGTTGCTGAATACGAATCGAGAGGCTGAAACGGTTTAAAGGGGTAAAAAAAAAAAAGACTCTTCACTAAACAATCCATTAACCCATATCAAATTCAACCAAACAGTACCAACATTGCTCATACCTTATCTGTATATGGCAATGACTCCTCTCCATTAATGATTCCATGAATTCCATCAAAAACCACACTAGCTGAGCTTGTATAGATAAGTCTCTTCACTTTTAGCTCTACACATGCATCAATTACATTCTTTGTTCCTATAAATTACAGCAAAAAAAAAAAAAAACTAATAAATAAATAAAATAAACAAGAACTTGATCAATCAAACTCAAGGCAAAATAATAATAATAATAATTAACCTTGAACGTTGACAGAGTAGTGAAGCTGATGGCTATTAACAGACGAATTGGGAGCTGCCATGTGGAACACAACCTCAGCTCCTTCAGTAGCTGCAAAAACCAAATAAAAAAAATAAAAAATTGATTGAAATTACTTAATTAGCTAAAAAATCGATCCAAATGATGGTTATGTGACCTTTGAGTACTTGAGCTTTGTCACGAAGATCCGCAGAGACATACTTTGCACGGCCAGATTTCAAGGCGTGACCGAGGACTCCATTTTGCTCCTCCGTGTTTAGGGTAATTTCGGGTTCCAAATCGGCAATACGAACAGAAAACATGTCGTATCGAATTAGCATTTCTACTAAATGGCGTGCGGCAAATCCCCTGCCTCCTGTCACCACACACCATCTCTCCTCCCCTGACATTATCAATTTTGTTTTTCTTAAACAAAACTCCTGCAAGTTAAAAAAATAAAAAAATCAAAGCATTGCGATGCAAAGAGTGTGATAGAAATGCAATGCGGATTCGGTATCTTCTAAAATCTTAAGGGCATAGAAAGTAACGTTAATGGCTGACCTTTCAGTCTCTTCTGCTGTTCCTGATGCTTGACTGCGATCTGGATTGGAAAGAGATGAAGAAAGCTTTGATGTATAAAATAGGACAGGAGGGGAAGTAAATAGAGGGAATCTTCGATTCCTGGGCGCTTTCTATTTTGTTGCCACTCGTATTATGCGAAGGTGTTAGTTAACGGGGTGAAAATCGAATAATCGAATTGAAACTTATCGAAATATCAATTTTAATATAATTTCTTATAAAAATAAAAAAATCTTAAATTGAAATAATTTTAATTTTTAGATTTAGTTTCGATTTCTTTTTTAAAAAAATTGATTAAATGCAAAATTTTAAAAAATATATATATTTTTTTAAAACTAGATCACTATTGATTGTCCGTATCCATTATTCCCAATCCCAAATTAAAAATCTCATTTTGCCATCTCTCTTCGATCGCAACCCCTAAACATCCTCCAGTCTCCCCTTCACTCCAGGCTCTAGCCCTCCAATCCTCCTACAAATGCAAGTGGGTAATTGCGGCTCTCCCTCGTTTAGGCACCTTCTTCCTCCTTCTCGGTCCTTAGGCGGGCTTTAATCGTCAACCACCTCTTCCCTTTTCACATTCGACTATTAGGATTTGAATCTATGACCTCTTGTTGCAAAAGACCACTACCACTCGAGCTACAAGAGTCAAGACTTCCATTTCATGATGAGTCATGCTTACCCAAATAATTATCTAGTGAATCGAAATGCTTCTATTTTTCTTTCTTAGAATTTCGGTTTTTTGGCATTTTGGATGCATTTTGTGGGTATAAGGAGTTGAAAAATGTAACCATGTTGTTAAAATCTAGTGATGCGAGTCTCCACCTATCCGATTTCTTTGTAATTGCTTTAGATCTAGATCTCATTTCCTAACACTTTACATTAAAAAACAATTAAACTTATTAAATCAAAAAATTGTATAATTTGATTTGGATTGTGTATTCAATTTGTATACCTTTAAGAGCGAGAGAGAAAGAGCTTCTTACCGAATCTAAGAGATTATTATCGTCTTCTATAGTACTAGTTTTGTTGAATTGCTTTTTAATTAAAATATTGGATTGAATTTGATGAAATTTCTTACATCTTCTCGCTTTATGATTTATTGATTTAGTATGAATTTTGTAGTGTTGAATTGTTGCTTTTATATACATTACTATTTCGAATCTTTGACCCCATTTATGCACTATAGCATTGGAGTTAATAAGGTTTTATATAGTCCGGCAAGAGACTACCAAATAGTTCAACTTGATTTTAGAAGTTTTGCTCATATTTTCCTTAAGTCATATTGTTACTTTGTAAGTTTGAATTTTGACAGATAATAACTTGTTATGATCTCCACAACCATAACTTTTTTATCTCAAAATTTATTATCTGTCTTGTTGGTTGGATCTCACTTTCAATCTTTATGATTGGGTCTTGTGTATGCCCTACTAGTAATTTCAATGTAAGTGAGGCTAGGCCAACATTTGCTTGGTAGATATTACAATAAAAGTTGCACTCGCGTAATATGGTGCATAAACGTGTGGCATTAAGGTTCAATTTTTCGAAGCTTGCATAATGGTTTATTGTTAGAATATTATTGGCCTTTTTTTTTTTTTTTTAGAGAATGTGAATGAACAACCATTTTATGAGTTGCAGCAGCAAGGTCATGTTTTTAAGCTCATCTTTGGCAATGGGCTTGTCCGCTTGTGGAATGTACATCGTGTTACGATGTTGATGATAGGTTAGTTATTGTTAGTATGAACTATAGCTTTAGTTATGTTGTTTTTGCATATCTAATTCCTATTTTGCTAATTTACCTCATCTCGCTAGTGTTGTTTTGTTTTTTGGCTATTGGGATTACGAAACTATAACTAATGGTTTGTGAAGAATAATTGGTGGTGATTATTAAGCATTCAGCCTTTGTTAAAGCTTTTTTATAGCCTTTGTTAAAGCTTTCTTCTTATATAAAATTAACCGATTAAAGTGAAAAATTATAAAAGAAAATAAAACGGATAAAAATTGAATTATAAAACATCAAAATCAAAATATTTCAAAACGAATCAAAAACTCGAATAATATTTTGGTTCGAATTCGCTTAATTTTTTTTTAAATTTGGTTAACCGAAAATCATCAAAAATATTTCAAAACCAAACCAAATAACCGAACAAACACCCTTATTCGTAAGCTCCATAGACGGATATAAAGCTTTGTCCTTCTATTTGTACTAATTACTCTTTGTGCTTTTATTTGTTTTAATGTCTTCTTATTTACTTTTGAAATCATCATGGTTATGTTTTAATCTAACCGGTTAAGGTTATCAATCAATTATTAATGACATCTACCATATATTGACATGTGTCCAATATTATATCGTATTTATAATAAAAAAATGTGTAAAGTATTTTTATTTCTTTTTTATTTTTCTTTTTTCTCTTTTTCTTCTTTTTCTTCCTCCTTGTCTCTCTCCACCATGGCTATCACACTTCATAACCCATAAAATCATGGAAGACCACCACCAAAACATATATTTTCTTCTTTTTTTCCTTCTCTTTTTTCTTTTTCATAAGTGGCAAGCGTTGCTCGCTACCAATTATTGCAATTCAAGATTCCAAACAATAAGAAATAAAGATTGAAATGCAAATTCTAAATGATTTCAAGAATTAAAGCTGAAATAAATCAATTAAGATGAAAAGTTTTGTAAATCTATACAAGCTTATTAAGAAAACTAAATAAAAAAAATTATCCATCAATAAGCGAGTTACAAAGAAAAAAAAAAGAGAAAATTAGGGAGAAGAAATGCCTAAATGGCCATGAATGCTATACTTGTTCTTTATTTTTTATTTTAACATTGTTTGTTACACTACATACAATAGACTAACCATGACTAATCCAAACTTTGTTTTAGCCCTTCATGTTTTCTAATTCAATCACGAGTAATCCCTTAAACCTCTTCAAACCAAGCAACTTCATTTTCCATTTTCCCTACAATCCAATTTCATTTTCTCTTTCATAAGTGCCAAAAGTTGCTCTGTTACCAATTATTGCTATTCAAGATTCCAAACAACAAGAAATAAAGATTGAAATACAAATTCTAAATGATTTCAAGAATTAAAGCTAAAATAAATCAATTAAGATGAAACATTTTGTAAATCTATGCAAGCGTATTAAGAAAAATGAATAAAAAAATTATCTATCAACGAGAAGTTACAAAGAAAAAAAAAACAAAGAGAAAATTAGGGAGAAGAAAAGCTTAAATTGCTAAGAATGACTATAGTGTTTTTTATTCTTGATTTTAACATTGTTTGTTACACTATGTACAATAGACTAACCATGACTAATCTAAACTTTGTTTTAGTCCTTCATGTTTTCTAATTCAATCACGAGTAATCCCTACAACCCCTTCAAACTAGCAACTTCATTTTCCACTTTAGCAAATACCCTTTACTTGAGAGACTTTGTCCTCAAGGTAAAAGTAAGGGAAATATTTTTTAAGTTCAAAGGTAAATTCTCATTAACAAAAAAACTAAAATAAAACGATCAGTTAATATTCATTATACTATTTGAAATATTGTTTATCCAAACTCATTCACACTATTCACCAAAACTCAAATGTACTGTTCATTTCACTATGTAGCATTATTTTTATAACTTTCAAATACTTTAAAAACACTTATTATAAAAATTTTCATGACATTACACTTTGGTCTTTTTTAAAAAAATATTATTTTTTTAGTCCGTAAATATTCTTTGTTTAATTTTGGTCCCTCTTTTTTGTTTCATTTTAGTCACTTTGGTCATTTTTTTAATTAAAAATTTTAGGGCAAAAAAATTTTTCTTAAAAAAATAATTTACAAAATAAGTTTTTAGTTAAGAATCTATTGATTTTGACATTTTTATACTATTATAAATTTTTTAGTTTATGGATAGAGAAATAAAGAATTTTTTTAATAAAAAATTTATGAAAAATATAAAAATAATTAGTCAAATATAAAATTTTGATTAAAGAATTAAAAAATTGAATGAATTTTTATTTAGTTTTGACTTGATATATTTTAGTATATACACAATATAATACAAAATATCAAACTAAAATAATTTTTAAAAAATAATTTTATGTGTTATGTCCGATTCTCGGTATAGCGTGGATAAACAAAACTAGTGTGACATCTAAGGTTGAACTATTAGATCATTGAACTAACAACTTAGTAATTACTTGATTATCTCTTTTAACCATTTTTCAATCTAAGATGGCTATTGGAAAATACTAGAATGTCTAATGACATAGGCAATTGACTTTGAACTATAACCTTTCCATAAACATGTTTGAGTTGAGAGATATGAAAGTTGGTGAATTAGGAATTAAGAAAAAAGTTGTATTGTGAATGTTGCTTCGCCCACCTTGTCAATAAACTAAAAGTGGCCAAAATACCTAGGAGATAAATTCTTATTCCTCTTAATAGCTACTAATTGTCCTACAACTTCAATTACACTCAATATTTTATCTAAATATCATGTTAGTCCCTTTCTTATCAACTAGTTGCTTCAAGCAAAATTATGTCCTTGTTAAATAATGCTTAAGCCAAGCAATCATATCTTTTTGGCTTATTGCACCATAAAATTATGAACTTAACACGTTTTAGTTATTTTGGCATGTTCTTTCAAAAATGGATAAAAAATAAATGAACTAAGTTTCTAATAACCATATTAGCATAGAAGGATTTTTTTTTGTTCAAAATTGCATTTTCACTTGACGTGGAAAGGTAAATAAAATAACAAGCATTGATTAAAATCCATCTAAAATTACACATGGCCAAAAATTAAAATTCCTCCTCTATTTAGATGACATGTCACCCAATTTTAATTGACTTCTAATTTCAAAAACAAATAATTTCCAAAACACAAACCCAAATCGAATAAAAAAAAATCTACAATCTTCTTCTTTTCCCTATAAGCCAAGACCTTATCCCTCTCTCCTTACGAATTTTCAACCGTTTCAAAAATCCTTTTTGTTTTAATATATCTTTATAGGTGCTTTGGGTAAATGTATATGCCAACAGACTTAGTCTTGTAGTACTCTTTTTCTTTCTTGTTTGTTCCACCTTTGAACAATTTAGGTCAATCCTCCTATCATGACTTACAAATTGCTCTCTTCTATACTACCACCGAACAAGAGCCATATTAGCTTGTCGGGGCAACCATTTTGAATCCTTTAGATGACTATAAGAAGATTGTTGTTTCAATAATAAAGGAGTACTTTAGCATTGGTGATGTGGAAGTGGCTACATCCGACCTTAGAGAGCTTGGGTCTACCGAATATCATTCATACTTTATCAAGCGACTTATTTCTATGGCCATAGAAATGAATGATAAGGAGAAAGAAATGGTTTCGGTTCTACTTTTTGCACTATACATTGATGTCATCGGCTTGTCCTATATTAGGGATGGGTTTGTCATACTTTTAGAGTTTGCTAATGATTTTATAGTTGACATACTAGTTGTATATTCATGGGGGGAGGGGATGGATCCTAGTTTGTTAGGGTAGAGAAAAAGATTAGGGTTTTTTTTATTTGATTTAGGTTTATGTTTTGGGAATTATTTGTTTTTGAAATTGAAAGTCAACTAAAATTGGGTGACATGTCGTCCGAATAGGAGAGGAATTTTAATTTTTAGCCATATGTAATCCTAGATGAATTTTAATCCATATTGTCATCTTATATATCTTACCATGTCAAGTTAAAGCATAATTTTAAATGAAAAAGTCATCATGTGTTAATATGATTACCGTAAACTTAGTTCATGTATTTTATATTTATTTTTGAAAGAACATGCCAAAATAATTAAAACGTGTTAAGTTCATAATTTTATGGTACAATAAGCTTATTTTTCTTCTTAAACAAACCTTCGTAAGATAAAAGAAAGAAAATTCAAAGCATTATGATGTAAAAAGTGTTATAGAAATGCAATGCGGATTCGGTATCTTTTAGTCTTTTCTATTATTGTTGATGCTTGCTTAGGATTTGGATTTGAAAGAGATGAAGAAAGGTTTGACTAAATGGGGAGCAAAATAGAGGGAATCTCTTATTCCCGGCTACTAATTATTTATTTGCTACTTTTATTATATTCTTTCGTAGGCTCTGCAAACAGTGTCTAAAGCTTCGTCCTTCTATTTTTTATTTTGTACTAGTTGTTTTTTATATTTTTATTTATTTTATTGTCCTTTTATATACTTTCAAAATTATTTTGGTTAAGCTTTAATCGAACCCAATAGGATTATCGATCGATCGAGTAACATCTACCATATATTGACATGTGTACAATGTCATATAGTATATATAATGAAAAATGTATATATTTATTTTTATTTCCTTTTTCCTATTTTTTTCCTTTTCTTCTTTTTCTTCCTCTTACTCTTTATTCTCCTTCTTTCTCTCTCCATCATGACCATCACCACTTTATAACCCACAAAATCGCCAAAGACCACCACCAAAGCATTATAGTTTCCTTTTTCTTCCCTTCTTCTTTTCCTCTTTCATAAGTGCCAAAAGTTGTTCTACTATCAATTATTGTAATTCAAGATTCCAAACAATAAGAAATAAAGACTAAAATGCAAATTTTAAATGATTTCAAAGATTAAGCTAAAATGAATCAATTAAGATGAAATTTTTACAAATATATGCAAATGTATTAAGAAAATAAAATAATAAAAATCATCCATCAATGGGAAGTTACAAAAAAAAAAAAAGAAAAAAGAAAAAACAAAGAGAACATTAGGAAGAAGAAATGCCTAAATTGCCAAGAATGGCTATAATTTTCTTTATTTTTTTTATTTTACTAGTATTTTTTACACTACATGCAACAAACTAACTAATATGCCCGCTAAGCATTACAAACTCTCTCACGTGTTAGTCATGCCTTTCACTTAATCTTTCCATGTGTCTATTTCCTTCACATGTGTTGCCTTTTAATAGACTATCTTTTAACTTACCGACTAATCCAAACTTTATTTTAGTCCTTCATATTTTCTAGTTTAATCTTAGTAATCCCCGTAACTCATTCAAGCTAGTAACTTCATTTCTCATTTTAGCAAATACCTCTTACTTGAGCAACCTTGTCCTCAAGGTCAAAGTAAGGAATAAATTTTCAAGTTCAAAGGCAAATTCTCATATGAGATCTAATTTTAAACCATTAAATTATTGAACCAACAACTTAACAACTATTTGATTATCCTCTTTAACTATTTTTCAATCCAAGATAGCTATTGGAAATTCTAAAGTATCTAATGGTATAAGCAACTAACTTTGAACCGTTACCTTCCCATAAATAGGTTTGAGTCGAGAGATATGAAAATTAGGTGAATTAAAAATTAAGGTGGGAGTTGTATTATGTATGTTATTTCACCCACTCTATCGGTAATCTAAAAAATGCCTAAACACTTAAGAGATAACTTTTGATTCCTCCCGATAGCCCCTAATTTCTATAAGTCTACAAGACTAGAACTTCAAATATACTCAATATTCTATTTGAAATATCTTGTTAGCCCTCTTTTTATCGCCTAATTACTTCAAGCAAAATTATGCCTTGGTTAAATGATGTTTAAGTAAAGAAATCATATCTTTTTTTTTTTTTTGCTTATAAGAACTAATTCACACCCCTTTCTTTACAATCATTAAGAAAATAAGGTAAGCGCATAAGGAAGAATAATCATAGAATGCTTTAAAAGGAGAATTTTTATGAAAAAAAAGGTATTGTACCGAGTACTCTACCATGCATAACTACTTGCATCATGCATTAGGAATAGAAGAAGTCATATAACGAAGGTAATTCTATAGGCATATGTTGAAGATTTTAGTTTTTCCACTAATATGAGTGTGATATGTTATAGAAAAACTTTAAGAAAACTCTTTGATAAGCGAACAACTTATTCTAAAACTTGCTAAGACAAATAAGATCTCTATATGAAATTATGTTATTAGGCAATCCATGAATCTTATAGATATATTTATGAATACTTTGGCTATTGAACTAGTAGAATAAGGGTGAGACAAAGGTATAAAATGGGCATACTTGGTTAAACAATCAATCATCACACATATAACGGACTTGTCTTAAGACATTAGTAGCCTTTTAATAAAATCCATGGTAATATCAATGAATATATCTTGAGGTAAAGGTAATGGATTTAACATCCCTAGCGTTATAATATTTTCATATTTACATTCCTAACATGTAGTGCAATTACGAATATATTCTCTTACATCTTTAATGAATCATTTATAGCATAACAATGATTCCACCTTTTTAGTTGTAACCACCAATCGAAATGTCCCCTAATTACTAAGTCATAAAATAAGAAAATCAATTCCTTATGTAAGCCAAAGTCATTACCAACCACCAACCTTCCTTTTTTCTCGACTGATGATCTTGACACATAAATTTTAGATAAGACATTCTAGGAGTCTATAATTATATTATAACAATTTTAGTTCGGGTTTTAAACTCCATAAGGCTTGAGACTTTACTATAAATAAGTGAATATTGAAGACATAACTATTATAGACAATTACATTTTTTATAAAGCATCAACCACCTTGTTTTTCTTTCCTTTTTTATACACAATCTCATGATCATACCCAATCAATTTGACCAACTAAGTAAGTTAACTAGCTATGTGAATCATTTGCTCCAACAAGTGTTTTAAACTGATAAGTGTGTATTATAAAATATTTATCATTCTAATAGTAATGCCATTTTTTTTAACAACGAAACAATATGTTAAGCAACTCCTTCTCGTAAACGGATTAAGATTGATAGTTGGAGGATAATGACTTACCGGTGTAAACTATAAGATGACATTTACGTGTTGGAACAATACCAATTCTCATCCTAAAAGCCTCTATTTCAATGAAAAATTCTTTAGACATGCTTGGTAATGCCAAAATACGAATAGTAATTATGACTTTTTTCAGCGTTAGAAATGTTGATTCTATTAAAGAAATCCATAGAAGACCATCTTTTTTCAATAAGTCAACCAAAAGCTCGCTATTTTTCTATGATTACGTACAAAATGTCTATAATATCTATTGAGACTTAGAAAACCTCTTAATTGTTTTAAAACTTTAGGTTTAGGTCACAACTATATAGCCTTAATTTTCTTAGGGTCAATTTGAATTCCTTATAGTGCCTTAACTATTTCACCATAGGAGTGCTCAAGGTGCATTTTGACTTCTTAGCAAACAAAGCATTCTCTTTTAATAGAGATAAAGCAATTTTCAAATGATGTCTATGATCTTTTATACTTTTGCTAAGACTAATATGTCATAAAAAAAGGACTAAGATAAATGTTTTAAGAAAAATCTTGAAAACACCATTCATTAATGATTGAAAAGGGCTAAAGGCATTTATCAAACCAAATAGCATTATCACGCATTCATAATAATCGTTATTTATTCTAAAAGAATTTTTTGAAACATCCAAGAGTGTTTATTTTTATTTGGTGATATCTAGCTCATAAATCTAATTTTGAAAAAAAATAATAATAAAACCATACAATTTGTCAAATAGTTCTTCAATGATAGAATGGAAAACTAATAATTAATAGTCATCTCATTAAGTTTTCTATAGTCAAAATACATTCTCCAAGTGACATTCTTTTTCCTAACCAATAAAATTAGAGATGAAAAAGGACTAGTGATGGATCATATAATTATATCCTTCAACATCTCCTTAACTTATTTTTTAATCTCATGTTTTTGAAAAAAAAAATATATCTATAAGGCTTCACACTCCCAAGTTCGATCCCTCTCTCAATGTTATCTTATGGTCATGAGTCCTTTATGGTGTTAATTTTTTTGCAACTCAAAAACATAAACATCTCTAATATTATTCTTAATTCCGTTTAAATTTGTTGATCTATTTTGCCATCCAACTCTCTATTTTTTATTTGTTAAAATCAACTATGTGATTTAATTATAATCAATTTATTAGTTGTTGTTTTTTTAAAAATCCCTATTCATTTATTTTTCTTCATCACTTTTAATAAAGTTCACACACTTTCCTCACAACATAAATAATTTTCTCTCATTTAAGAATTTCATCCACAATTGTTTAAAGTTCTAATTTATATCTTTAAAACCATACAACCATGTAATCTCTAAAATAATTTTATATATTCTTAATTGGATCACAAAAACTATAATATAAAAAGAATTCTTTTTATTTTCCCTTTAAAGTTGTTACATATATACTCATAAAAAAATCTCGTCGCCATTTAACCCAACATGATTAGTCTTAGTAAACTCATAATTAGTCCTTCTTACAAATCCTAAATCCAAAAATTTGTGATATTTTCCACTAGTATGTTCATCTTTTTACAATGTGATTCTCTTACAACTTTCATAGTTTGATAATATTCCTCATCAAACATTACATACAATGAGATTTGATACAATTCTCTAGGCAAATTCTCTATATTGTTAAAATGCCTCACATTAATCTCACGATATTTGTTTTCTCCCTCATTCTTATCTATCCTGCTCTTCTCAAAGTTTAACACTAAGAGAAAATTAGAAAATAGTGATAGATTTTTTCATCACTATTTATCTTTAGCGACAGATTTATGACAAGACACTTTACGTAGCAAAAGTCATTATCGCTCTTTTTTAGCGACGAATATTTTTTTCGTCATTAATGTGTAGAAATTCCATCGCTAAAACATAGTAAACGATCATCTCTTTAGTCTTGTATTTATCATAAAACCATCACTAATTCACTATTTCTATCACTAAGTCGTTCTCGTTAAAGTTTCTTGTAGATCCATCGCTATTTAGTGATCGTACAATTGTCCGTCACAAAGTGGTTTAATTTTATTGCTAATTCGATCGTTAATCAATCACTAAATAAAGGAATTTTTTAATATAAATTAATAGCCATTTAATTTTAATATTAGTAATAAATAACTAAAAATAACATCTTATCAAAACACGATATATTATTTAATAAAATTAAAATAATATAAATTGAAATCAAATAAATATGTAAATGCAATAAGGTGTATGAAAACATTAAAAAC